CTCGCCCCCGCAGCCCCCCCCCCCCCCCTTCCTTCCTGTTTTGGGGAAAATAGTAAGATTTGTATTTCCCGTCACTTTCTATCTTGGTGAAATCCACACATAATACAATCTTCTTCACATCTACCAGCAACCGGCCCCACAAGGACGCCTATCCAACCGGCCCCACAAGGACGTCTATCCAACCGGCCCCACAAGGACGTCTATCCAACCGGCCCCACAAGGACGTCTATCCAACCGGCCCCACAAGGACGTCTATCCAACCGGCCCCACAAGGACGTCTTAACGTAGCCTGGTTTAGAGAGCGCGTGTACATATTGTATGGTCAGCTATTGAAGATTGCCCAGAGATTGTACAATCAGATTGTAACGTGTGGACAGAATAAAACCGGCAGCAGCTCCATGAACAGTAAGAGGGAAGAGTGTGTAGTATAGCGCCCCCCGCAGGCCCGGACTGCCATAGCATGTTCTTGTTACATTCAATCTTTCATCTCACCTCCCATCTGGAATCATTGGAAAGTCCCAACACGGTCGCCGGGAGCCAACGATGAGCTCAGCACTCGGCACAAAGCTAAGGAACACTGATGAGGTCTGCCGTCCGGGGGGGGGGTTAGGGGATTCTCACACTTCCTATTCAGTGACACCAATCACAATGGCAGAAGTGAAAAGGTGCCAACCCTTCTCTACTACTTTACTTTGTCTGTCTCCGCCCCCTCTGGAGAAACATCCCTCACTTCCTGTCCCAATGACAACGCAGGAAATGAGGAACCCATCCCAGCTGGGGCACAGACACTTTAATAAACAACCTATGGCCATCAGCAGGCAATGCAAATGCCTTTCCCCCCCATTAATCCTGAACATGACCAGAATTATTCTACAGTCCATTCGTCTCTGATCCCGACCGGCATGCAAAGTGGTCAGAGAGAGAGACAGAAGTTTGTGAAATCCTGGAAGCATGCGCGTCCGTGTAATGTGAAGGTTTCCGCTTCCTCACAATGAGCCTGTGTGTTTCCTCTGTTATCAGGAGCGGCCCGAAATTCCTCCCCAGGAGATCCCGCCGACCTTTCCACAGCCGCGTACTGAAGAGCAAATCTCGGAGAACGTTCTGGACTCTGCCCGGTACTATGTATACAGGAGGCCCGGTCCGAATACACCAACGCAGGCATATCGGGGAGGACAGAATAGCCAGCGGACCCCCTCGAGGGAACCCACAAGTCTAGAGCTTCACAAACCAGGCCTGAACGCTGAGCCCCGACCGCCGGGAGCCAATCGGAAAGCCCCGACCGCCGGGAGCCAATCGGAAAGCCCCGACCGCCGGGAGCCAATCGGAAAGCCGCCCTCCTGGAAAGCCCCGACTGCCGGGAGCCAATCGGAAAGCTGATTCACCGGCTGTGTTGTCTCTTAAAGCCAATCCACTGAGATCCGTCGCCATGTATTCATCCGTTACATAAGATTGTATACAATATAAAAACACACACAAAGCGGTCATGTGACCCCGGCTTCTTCGTAAGGGGCGGGGCTATGCTGAGGCCGGGAGATCAGCTTAGCCTGCCAGTGACCAGAGCCGGACGGCAGCAGATGGCGCGCTGCTATACACCAAGACGGAGACATTACAGCGGAGCGCGGCATTCTATACGTCACGTGTCGCTGTATACGGAGCTTTGTATGTTACACACAGCGGAGCACGGCACTGAGTTTTATTTTACATGACGTTTTCTGTGAGCTTTGCTGTGCGTTCTATATTTCGGTTGAACGCATTCTTCACTTTTACTATATACACTTCACACTGCAATCTGTATGTTTACTATATACACTACATCCTACACGTCCTCTACACGCCTGTACACTGTGCTATACGCTACATTCCTGGAATACCTGAACTCTGCACTTTTCTCAGCATTTCAATTACTAGAAATCTCGGAGAGAGAATGTAGAATTTTAAACAACGCATGTGTGCCGGTCTAAGCGCCGCTGCGCACCTAGGCGACACCTCACCTGCGGCATTCAGTCGGGAGTCACCAAGGTGTGCACAGATTTTCCAGTCGCACCGGGCGGATCGTGAGATTTCCCGCCGCGATTCCGCCCGTGCTTTCCGAACAGTCGTGCATCGCAAAAAAAGGCGCATGTAGTTTCTTTCCTACGATTGCCGCGCAGATATCACCCCAAACGCTGCGTGCATTGTACAGGAACACGCCATCCCGGAGGTCTCCAACAGTGAGCCCCTTCCGTCTCTGGGCCCGCCCTCTGCGGAAATGGCACACGCAGGGTTAAGGGCTTGTTCACACCAAGTGCAGAACGCACCAAAACTGCATCCAATGTATTCCAAATGCTATTTTGGGCTCAGAGAGTTCAGTTCCAGAGCATGTGGAAACACTGGACTACAACTACCATCATGCTTGGGTAGCAGCTGGACATGATGGGATCTGTGGCTGGAAGATGTATGGGAGATGCCATTGGCCTGAGACAATTTGGTGTGCTCCTCCAGTCTTCATACTTGTCAGCGGATATCATGGGGGGGGAGGGGGCAGAATTCCTGGCCGCTTACAACTCATGACCGGCGTTCTATGGAGAAGACGACTTGGGTCAATGGATATTATTCTTCCAATAAGAACGCACATGACGCAGAGCACAACGTCCGGCCCCTCCATAGATCTCCCAGCTGGGTGACCTCAGTCTACGGACACTGCAAGGCACAATGGCGGCCTGATCAACAAGACAACGCTAGACTGTGGGCGGCCATCACGGGCCCAGACATCTGCCATGTCTGAAGGGGTTCACATTTTCTGCCTTGAGAAAGGGACCCTGCGTGGCCCCGAAACGTCGGCTCTACTCGATTGTCGTGACACCATGGTCCAATAAAAAGGACTTATTTATTTTTAAACTCTTTGAGTGCTGGTGACCTTTTTCTTCAACTGTAGTGACATCCGACACCCCTTCAGGCTCCTCCCCCGCAGAGCTCTGTGGTCTATGGTGTGCTTTAGTGACATCTGACACCCCTCCAGGCTCCTCCCCCGCAGAGCTCTGTGGTCTATGGTGTCCTGTAGTGACATCCGACAGCCCTTCAGGCTCCTCCCCCGCAGAGCTCTGTGGTCTATGGTGTCCTGTAGTGACATCCGACACCCCTCCAGGCTCCTCCCCCGCAGAGCTCTGTGGTCTATGGTGTCCTGTAGTGAAATAGGGGCCGATGGATGGAAGAGCATTCAGCTGGGATCAGGAACCCAATACACTTTGAAGCGTCGGATGCTGAAGATTCTTGAGCCAATGTACTTCTACGATGGAGAAGATCTGTGGGACAGGAAGCAGCATGGAGGGTGTTCGGTTTTAATCACTTTTTGAGTCTTTGAATATACATTTGGCGATTTTTTGAATGATTAGAATGTTAAATGAATACGGAATTCAGGAGCCCGATTGTCCAATGTGGACCCAGCCAGAGAAAACCTCAAGCGCTAGGCGCCAGCTGTAACCTCGGCGACCTGGCTCCTGGGACTTGTCCAGCCCGGGGGTAATATGTGCTGCGTAGTCACCGCCTGTCCCACATGCTGCCACATGGCTCCTCGCTGCTGAAGTAACTTTGTGGATTGTCGGCCTGTGGCAGCATGCGGCAGCCGTGTTTAGGGAAAGCAGCGCTCACAATATTGACAAGCGAGCGCCGCGTGCGCTAAACAGCCGTGACATGAAATATTTGCTCTTCATGGAGAGAAGAATGTCCCTAGAGGTAGTCTGGAGACCGGCCTCTATTCTGGGAACGCGGCTGGAGTGTGCAGCAGCTGACACAAGAGAGCCGCCACATTATCACACTTAAAGAGAACCTGTCACTAGAAGAAACAACAAACATGCATAGCCATGTCAGCCACCGTGATTAGCATGACATGACGCAATAGATACCACTGAACCTTCACCCAGAAGGGGGCATAGGGGTCAAAGGTTTTGCTCCAACCTGGATCTTAAAGTGTAATTAAACCTTCAAAATGATCTGCAGAGAGTACAGCAGGCGATAATATGGAACTAGAATGATTTCTTTTCATTTCACAACTTACATTGTCAGTGTTTTTAGAACTGTGCACCTCCTGCAGCTCACTGGCAACCTCCGGATTGTGCACCTCCTGCAGCTCACTGGCAACCTCCGGATTGTGCACCTCCTGCAGCTCACTGGCAACCTCCGGATTGTGCACCTCCTGCAGCTCACTGGCAACCTCCGGATTGTGCGCCTCCCGCAGCTCACTGGCAACCTCCGGATTGTGCACCTCCCGCAGCTCACTGGCAACCTCCGGATTGTGCACCTCCTGCAGCTCACTGGCAACCTCCGGATTGTGCGCCTCCCGCAGCTCACTGGCAACCTCCGGATTGTGCACCTCCCGCAGCTCACTGGCAACCTCCGGATTGTGCGCCTCCTGCAGCTCACTGGCAACCTCTGGATGAGTAGAAAGATAAGCACCTCAGTATCTTGCTGCTCTTTCATAGTCCAATCATAAGATGGGGTGCCTGACCTGCATGGTGTCATGCGGGATGACTGATCTCGGACACATCGCATTCCCACAATGCCATGGGGATGCATTTCAATTGGCCAAGGCGATGTATTGCTGGGTGCAGGGCGGCTGATCTCCAACTTGAAGCACATATGAAAACTTTCATGCA